CTACAATCAACTTGTACTTGGCCAGCGTGGTTGACTAAGGCCTAGACATTCCTAACTTAGGGTAGGCTCCGAGCCCCTCAGTGCAGACTTATAGTGAGCTGATGATGAATACCGTTATTCCCATCTCTTTTAAACTTCGATATCTTTATTTTTAAATGCAAATTTTATTTTAAAAAATATTGTCTAGCCGAGTTATCTGCATACGAAGCCCAACACACGGTGTAATGAGTCTAAATGAGATAAGGGATGACACCGTTACAACAGTCTTATTGCCGAGAAATGCATCATGTAACCTTATTTATATATGTATTGAGTTTTAATAAAATTAGCATCGAAAATGTTATCTACACACTTTTTAATTAGCGGCTTATCGTCCAAATTATAAAAGTCAAAAGCCTTTCTTAACCCTCGCTCACTGGAATCTTAATCATAACATTACTACTCTTTGCCCGCGATTTCGTCTACACAGAATTAAAAAATAAGTGTGTATCATATGTTACTCGAGACAATGTTCTATGTCTATGACAAATTTCAATAAAATATGTTAAACCATTGCGGAGTTATTGAGTAAACATGAGAAACAAACGTATCCCACGAGAACAGTTTTCCTGGATCATAGTGTTAGGATGAAAAACCGACAATCTGCCGGTGTACTGGCACAATACTATCCTTACTAAAATGTCGACTTTTATGTCCCCTCACTAATTATTCTGACACTTCACTTTGTAATGAAAGCGCGCCAAAGGATTCTAACTAATAATGTCTAAAAAAGGTAGCCTTTGTGTTCTTGTAGACTATGTTCAACTAGCATGGTTTAACCTGGAGTTACCCAGTAACAAACATTCAAACTTTCGCATACGGAGAAATGTAATGACACGTGTGAAGTCAAGCCGCAGGGTCTGCTATTGACTCCCCCTAGGGTACATAAGACTTTAGTTGGTCTTCTACATAGTTTTGAGGGTTTAGACAAGATTCGATAACGAATTTCAAAATTGTATGGAACTGATGCGCGACTATCACATCACTTAACGAAAGCTCTTGCCAGTTCAATACATTTTTGAAGTTCGTTATGGTATTTCGGAGCGAATGCACTTTGTCTAGCCCCACTGTATACTTACATATGGACGTCATAATTAAGAGGTCGTAGAGATCACAAACTTTGAACATTAAAATAAAAATAGCTGACAATCGATTTCCTGTAATCTGTTAGAGATAAGTCTTCGTATCACGTATTACGTGCTATTGTCACGTAACACAAGCGACCGCTAGTGGAATAACAATCACGGCATTGGACAACGGGCCCTGACCCCAAGGTCGCGGGTTCGAATCCTAAAGGCGATGACTAACTTATTACAGTCGAGGAAATAAATACAAATTCCGGAGTAATAATAATTAACGTAATAATACAAATAAGACGAAAAATCATATTAACATATACTGTAAATTCACAAGTTGATAAGATTCTATACAAAGTGGGTACTGAATTTAATTCTCTGACTTCAAATAAATAAATTATACCTAATACGGTAACAATATTAGATTTAGTGGGTAGCGAATTTAATTCTCTGACTTGGACAATGATCTATTGATAACTTAGTTAATAATAAATATATTTGAGTATAAAAGAGTTCTTTTATAAAGTCTTATTCACAGGAAGACAATCGAAATCTTTATTTTTAAACGAGATAAAAATTATAACAAGAAAATCTTTTATATAATCTGTATTAATAAAAAATACTGTTTTGTATCAAATTTGCGTTTCAATGCTGCCTTTTTTATATTCTTTGAAAACGTCTGATAGTGTCAAAGATTATAAAAATATTATCCTATAAAATCTGTATAGACGTACTTTGTATTTATACTTTTATTTCACACTAGTTGTCACCCGCATTCGCACGAAATTAAAAAAAAATATTAGTCTATGTGTTCTTCCAGAATATGTTCTACATCTATGTTAAAGTTCAGTCATATCCATGCAGCCATTCTGGAGATACCTTCAAACATCCACCCACACATACAAACATTCGCATTTACATTAGTAAGCTCAGTATCATGTCGGTACACGACGCTAGTTTTAGTAAACATCATTATCATCTTACTAATATTATCTAATTGTAAACGTATAATACACGAGTTGGCAATAAATACATACTTATTAATATATATAAATGCGAATGTTTGGATAAATGGATATAAGAAAGTATTTCCAGAATGAATCTGGCTGAAATTTGACACAAATGTAGAACATAGTCTGCAAGAAAGAAAACTAAATTAGTAGCCACATTGACTATTAAGTTTTTTTTTTAATTTCGTCAGTTACGCGAACGACTAACGTTAGAATTATTTGGAATATTGTTTGCGTAAATAATTATTTGTCACCAGGAGTTCATACACAGTTAACATAATTAATCTGTCCTTTTCAATTCTGTGTACCTTGTAGTCAAATCTTATGTATCCATTACGCAAGCCGCGTGACGTGTCGTTCGCGGCTCGGACGTGGATATTTTGGTATTACACTCACGAACCATCACGCCCGCTACCGACGCGTTCCAGTTTACATTAATTCATACGTCTATTTCTTAACCTGGGGTAACATTTGGTGTTGTCAAAGATTTTAATAGTTTTATGGCAAATCAAACTGTGTTAATTGTAACAAATTTCGATTTAAATTGGTTATCACAAATTTTGGCCACTAAGTAATAAAATTAAAACATCGCTCCTTAAAAATCAAAATCGAATTAAGCAACGATGTAGGTATTATAGTATTCAGACATCTAGACGGCTCTTAACTTCGCGCGAGTCAATGCGCATAACGAAATTTACGTGTAGGGGCGCGTAGCGGGATGCGGGGGGAGAACACAGCACAGCGCGCCGATGTCCTTGAGCCGCCAAGATATATGAAAAGAGTAGTAACTATCATACGTTAATCTTTCGTCATACTTTAAAATATCATGTTTTTATTTTAGAGGTCATTAAATATTGTCCTCTGGGAAACGCTATTTAACTATGTATACACAATCAAACAGCCATATCTAAAGTGCAGCATTTAATTATAACGCCCCGAAAATAAATCCGATGGACATAACCTTTATGCGTAGCGTAAGGCCAGGTTTGCTCAAAATCAGCGCTGGCATATAACTGGCATACTACAAATACTAACTGGCACCAGCGCTACTGTGCTACTGTACTGGCATGATGTAACCCAGACATGATATTCAAGTAATATTTAATTATAGAAGAGCATCATTTAACTCAAGATAAAGGCCTACACTTACGTCTCTGATGACATATATAATCAGTTGAATGCCCTACAACACTAGCCACTTACTGATACGTAAAAAATGAATATTTAATTCCTATTCACATATATTACTAAAGATAAAAAGATTCAAACAAAAATAATTCTTAACCAATACAAAATAGAGCACATAATAGCATAAATTAACCGGTAAGGCGTAGCATTACGATGTTAGCTCGTTATAACGACGACGCTGTGTAAAAATAACTATTTTCGTAACCACAATAAAACGTGACGTTCACTACATCGTCGGCCCACTGACCTACACGCAATAAAATGACACACCCGCGCCGCAATGTATACGCGCTAATACCAAAACGTCGAATTCGATGAATACGTAACAATGTAGATAGAACGCTATTGTCGAAATCTCGTCTGAATCTCATCGAATGATATGAATATTTTTAGACAAGTTTACATACATTTTACATCAAATCATACTTATGAATTATTAATACATTAACTATTGCACTCGACTCCGTTTACATGGTATTAAAAAAACTTAATTAGTAACCTACATATTCTTCCAGACTATGTTCTACATTTGTACCAAATTTCAACAAGATCCATTGAGCCGTTCTACAGGTACTTTCCAACAAACATACATCCATCCACTCATACATCTAAAATATTAGTAAGATTATGAATATGCTGTATAATTAGTATCAAAGGCTATTCACACTGATCATACATAGAGCAAGTTTACATGCTGATTTAAGATACTTTTTCTACACTATGTTTGTTATGTAGTGGTTATAATTATGTATTTATACTGGTATTAAGTCTAAACACTGGTAAAGCTTCATATGGTGTCTGCAAATAGGTCTGTTTAATAGTTAGAGTAGAATCTCACTGCACATTGGTGTAGGTACAAAGTATGTAGTATATTTCAAATGAAAATGCTTGTCAATGACCTTGAACTGACCAAAAATAGGAGAAAAGTAACTCTTAAATACATATTTATTTACCTATTTATCAAATATTTGGTTAATATATTTAAAATGGACAATCTATTTTACTATTTTGATCATGATGTCTTGGTGTAGGTACATGCATGTTTATATTTAATATATATAATAGATATATTATTCCCTAACAATATAGTCCAATGTTAACTGATATAAGTCTCTTTTTATCAAAGATAAAACAAATTTATAAATATAATATGCCTTTGATAATATAACTTTCACTAACTTTCTACATTGCTTACTGCAAATATGGCTTCATAATAATCTATTTTACTGACACTGACTTGCATTAGTTAATGTTTAATTTAATAGTTATATCCAATTAAAAGTTGTCCATAGAAAATATTTTTAAAGTTAATAATGACTCATATTTTGAAATTAGGTTGTATGATAATTTAGTATTTTTCCTTCTGAATTAAGAATTGCTATCTAATTTGTAAAGAATATATTTTATAGTGTAAGGAGAAGGGCATCAGCGAATTAAGATTGTTTACATTTTAATGGAAACAAATGTATTTAAACCGATAGTTTTACTAAATAGCCGCTTCTAAAACTGTACAGTAACTCATTTACTCATAAATATATTTTGCCGCGCGCGTGGGTTTATCTTATAAGCCGTCAAAGATAGAAGAAGAAGCAATTATAATCAGCCAACCGTCGACGCTGGAACCGCGACCCGGCATCCAAATAAAGACATAAAAGTATGACATGTCTACCATTCTACAAATACTGACCTGTTTTTTGCATCAAAAGCTTCAAAGACGTCACATTGAGATTCCATTCAAGTGTTTATTATAAAAAAAACAATGAACATTCACAAATTCAGTTCATTTCACACAATAACCATTTATTTTTTACGAATTTCTTTTTGTGACACTCGCGGAAACCAACAATCGGCCCGACCGCTGGAGCGTAACACAACAGATTATATAAAAAAATGTCAAAAAATAATCTCCATCATAGATATAGTAAAATACAGCTTTCCATCTTTATGTCAATTATCCAGAAGTATAAAAATTAGATATTACTTGTATAAAACACTGCAAAATTTTGCGATTTACAATCATCAGTAGCTCTAAATTAGTGTGTATTTTCTGGTCCTCGTCAGTCGTGGCACCAGTCAGACCGATGCTGGATAATGGACTATAAACTAAACTGAAGTAAACTTTACGTAATGCTTTCTACGTTATGCAGCCAACCTCTTTCTGCATCCAGGGAATTCTTGAAGTTCCATAATGAAAAATTATGAATTTTAGTTTTTCTTGAAAATAACTAGTAACCGGAAAAGGAAGAGGAATAACCGAAAACAACTGTCAAGAGAAAGTGACATGACAGTTTGTGGTTGCCCTGATTATTGACAATTTGTCAATAACATTCACAACTGAGTAGGGAAGAAATAAATCAATGTACATCATTATTGAATTTTCTTTTTGAAATAATCTAAACTTAAATAGAAAATAAGTTGATAAAAATATAATTAATTGTATTCGATTCTAAAATTGTTAATATAATTAAAAATGATTAAAGCCATACTTGTTTTCAACAATCATGGAAAACCACGGTTATCGAAATTCTATCAATATTTTGTAAGTAACATTGTAATTCTTTTGCCTTTTTGTATCATGTTGATTATAACACGTAGTAGTAGTTCGATAAAATTAAAATGAAAAATATATTTTCTCAGAATGAGGATATGCAGCAACAGATTATAAAAGAGACATTCCAATTGGTGTCCAAGAGAGATGACAATGTTTGTAATTTTCTGGAAGGAGGCAGGTTGGTAGTTTTTATATTTATATAACTATTACATTACCTATGCCGGAATAATAATGTGAAGGTAACTTTTTGGTTTTGGTTATAGTTTCTTGGAACAGGTTTAAACATATCAGGGAGGGGATAGAAGAAGAAAATATCCTTGTTCTGTTCATCACTTCCTTTTCTCATTAAAGATATTCATTAAATCGGTAGATTGTTTCAGATGTGTAAGCATATTAGTAATTTCACTATTATAGATTTGAACTTAAAGAAGTAATGAAGATTATTTCATATGTTATGTGTTCTTGAAACTGATTTGATATAACTATACCTAACACCCATTATCTAGAGTTGTAGACAGAGACTGCAGACCTCAATTTGGCTTGGTCTTGACATACTTCTTGATATTGGCCCAATCCGATGAGGGAGAGCCATAAACAAGAAACAGAACAGACATACTTCTCTTGTTTCTACATTCACACTCTGCATAAGCATACATGCTGGGTATGAAATCGATCAAACTAAATAATAAAACTATTAAAAAAAAACACATTTTTTTTTCAGCCTTATCGGTGGTTCAGATTACAAACTAATCTACAGACACTATGCTACACTATACTTTGTCTTCTGCGTTGATTCCTCTGAAAGTGAGCTAGGTATTCTAGACTTAATACAAGTAAGTATTAAATTATTTTTATGTTTTTTTTGGGTTTATTTGCCGTCAGTTACTACTTTCATTGCTAAGATAGATGTGTGGTGTGACAAGGAAGGATAAAGTTAAAAATGTGTATATTAGAGGAAGTTTGAAAGTAGTGATCGAGAAATTGAGGAGTAAAAGATTAGCGTGGTTTGGACATGTTATGAGGAGGGATGATGATATAAGCAAAAAAGCAATGAGTTTGAATGTGGATGGCTACAAGGGTAGGGGAAGACCAAAAAAAGTATGGAATGACTGTGTGAAAGAGGATATGCATAAGAAGGGGGTAGACTTGGATATGACGGCTGATAGAGATGTATGGAGGAGTAGTACATACTGTGCCGACCCTCGATAGGGATAAGGGCAGGTTGATGATGAGTTACTACTTTCATTAGTTGTGTTGATCATAGATCTTATTATTTTATGATGAAGATTGGCATAAAAATGCTATTGTATTAAAGAAATCCAACTAAGTAAGAATATTTTTAATCATAACACATGCAATGCCAGATTACATATAAAATAAAATCACTGTAAGTCTGTTCATCCAAGATTCTTACAGTGAAAGAAAATATTGTGATGCGACCTGCACATGTCTGCGAAGAAATTTAAAGACATGTGTAAAGTCAACCCGCACCAGGCGCATGGGCCAGCATGGTTGACTATGGCCTAGTCACCATGCTGGCCCATGACCCTTAGGTTCTGTGCTCCTGAGTGGGGACGGATATAGAGCTGATGATGAGAGTCTGGAACTAAAAGTGTTAATAATTACAGGTGTTTGTGGAAACTCTAGACAAATGCTTTGAGAATGTTTGCGAACTGGACCTTATCTTCCATGCGGATGCGGCTCACCAGGTGCTAGACGAGCTGGTGATGGGAGGCATGGTTCTGCAGACCAATATGGCGGATATCCTGTGCCGTTTACAGGAACAGAATAAGATGCAGAAAGCAGAGGTAATACTGAATTTTTTTATAAAAGGTAATAAAAGCGTCAAAGCAAGCGGCCATAAATAAAGGTCGAAATATTATTAGCTTATATCCATCTATGTGGAATTTAAAAAATACTTAATTAAATGCCTATGTGTTCTTCCAGGCTATGTTCTACATCTATGCCAAATTTCAGCTAAACCTATGCAGATATCTTTCTTCTACTGCCTTCGAAGAAATCTATCCATCCATTTGCATAATATTAGTAAAAAGTAATATGAATAGCTTTTCATTTACTGACTACTTGACCTTGACTATTTTGTACACTTATTTACATCCCTTTATTACTAATTCTCTCTTTTTAAATTACTTAAATTATTTCTTCCACTCGACATCTTTTTTTTTATTCAAAATTTTAGCAGATTTTTTTTTGTAAATTAACTAATATTTCTTTTACCATTCCAAATAAGCTCTAAGCTTGTGTTAGGATATGGTTTACGACAATCGAATGGCGGGATTCGAACCCCCGACCTCGTGAATGAAATCCGTACCCTTAACCATTAGGCTATATCAAACCAATGAGTGGATTCATGCAGCTATTGTCGTTGTTCACTCCACCACTGTTAATATCTAGTCTCCGTTGCAGGCTGGTATATCAGCTGCGCCGGCGCGTGCTGTGTCAGCTGTCAAGAGCATGAATCTACCACAGCAGCTGCGAGACATGAAGCTGCCCGACCTTCCGCAGGCTATTAGGGTAATGTTTGCATCACAACACTTTTTAATATACAATCTATAACTGATTTGAGGCAAAGAAATCTTTATATATTTGTACTAAAATAAAAAAAAAACAGTGTTACAAATTAATATTAGAAAATTGGTATAATTATTAGTTGTGGCCTGCGACTCCGTCCGCACTGTATTAAGAATAGGTCTCTCAGAGCTACTGAATGTGCATATAAAATTTAATAAAAATCCGTCAAGCTGTTACAGAGGAGTATGATGAAATAACATTATACATGAGAAGATTAAAAAAAAAAAAGTTTAAAGAAATTTACCAACATTTGAAAATAAGTACTAAGAAAATGAGTCTCCAACATTTACGAGCTGTTATGTTAAAAATTATTTTCTTCACTATTTCTGGTGCTTTGTGTCCGAGCTTCAAAAAATATGTATTTTTGAATTTTTAGGATTTGAAGTTCTGACCGCTACAGCAGGGCGCGCAAACATCGCCCGCCGGCCTCGCCACAAACATACTGAACACCATCTACCCTCATGACAAATATCATAATCTCCATCATCAGGACTTCCCAAACAAATTCTTTGGATCGGAAGCATTAAGTACCAGATTCTCTGAATCATTCTCCGAGAACTATCAACAGACTGAAGGAATTAATTTCCCTAATTATGAAACTCATAAATCTGAAGGATATCAAGACTTAAGTGGAACGGTGGACAGTGAGTATAGTGAGAAAAAGAGAAAGAAGAAGAAGAGACAAGGAAAATGATGAAATGTATGTATTTAATGGGTTTTCATTGTCAGAATACTTGTATAAAAACATTGTCATAACTTTCTGTCTTTAAAAAAAACATTAAGTGTGAGTTTCTGAGACAAAAATCTATGTATATCGTCGTCCCTGTCTTCATCTTTGACAAAACAGAGATAACAATATTTAAACGAAGGTTTTGGTCTCAGAAACCCATGATAAATGTCTTTTAAAGCTTAGATTTTATAGTGTGGGTAGATTTTTTCATGTCGAGGTTGGCTTTCTATGTTTTTATTTAAATGTTATTACCCCATTCTAAAGATTTCTAGAACTAATCAATAATTAGGGTCGCCCTTAGTTATCATTTAATGGCACTGAGTACCTATTGTTAATATTAAAGTACTCAGTATTTAGTTACAATTTAATATGGTTTCTGTTTTAGTAAATTTGGTTTACAATTTTTTATGTATGTGCAATATTAGTTCTTTTTAATATGTATTCAAATGTAAAAGTTTAAAATTTGACATTCCTTGAAGTATAAAAATTCCTTGTTTAAAATGATAAATGTAAATAATTCTACAATGTGTGAAAACAAAACAAAAATAATAATATTAAAATATTTTGTATAATAAAATATACATTTGCGTTGTTTAGTAACAATCGAAGCTGGATAACCGTGGGTTTGTGAGACCAAAATATCTGTTTAAAACATATTGCTATCTCTGTTTTTTATATAACAAGGGGACAAACGAGCAGCGGGAACACCGAGGTGATCAACGACACCCATGGACATCAGCAATACCAGAGGAACCGCAGATGCGTTGCCGGCCTTTGAGATAGTGATAAGCTCGCTTCTTAAAGGACCCTAAATCGTAGCGTTTTTTGTCAAAGATAGAAAAATGATAGGGATGAATGTAAGTTTTTTACGGGCATTTTGGTATCAGAAACCCACAGTAAATAGGAGTCCATGGGAGCACGATAATTTTCTCGCTTATAGTGGTTTCTCTCTCGAGTTTCTTTAACTATTTTAATGCCCTTTCATATTGCC